CAGCACCTACCACTCACTGTAGACCATCTCAAGCAGGTACCTTTAGTCTTTAAACCCTGATTCTTCTTTTTTTGGTTTAGTCTAACAGATGAAAACTCACACTGACTGATGTTGGCTGTGATCTTGGGCCTGTGAGATAGAATGGCAGAAAAAGAATTTAGAATAAGAAGACTTGGTTTGAATTTATTTCCTTTAATAGGTGTGTGGCGCCTGGGTGCGGTGGCTCACGCCTGTAATCCCAGCACTTTGGGAGGCCGAGGCGGGCAGATCACGAGGTCAGGAGACCGAGACCATCCTGGCTAACACGATGAAACCCCGTCTCCACTAAAAATACAAAAAATTAGCCAGGCATGGTGGCATGCATCTGTAGTCCCAGCTAATCAGGAGGCTGAAGCTGGAGAATCGCTTGAACCCAGGAGGTGGAGGTTGCAGTGAGTCAAGATCACACCACTGCACTCCAGCCTGGGTGACAAAGCGAGACTTGTCCCCCACCCCCAAAAAAAAGAATGTGTCAGCCGGGTGTGGTGGCTCACACCTGTAATCCCAACACTTTGGGATGCTGAGGTGGGTGGATTGCTTGAGCCCAGTAGTTTAAGACCAGCCTGGGCAAAAATGATAAGACCCTATCTCTACAAAAAATAAAATTTACCCAGATGTGGTGGTGGTGGTGCATGCCTGTAGTCTCAGTTACTTAGGAGATTCAGGTGGGAGAATCATTTGAGTCTGGGAGATTGAGGCTGCAGTGAGCCAAGATTGCGCCATGCACTCTAGCCTGGGCAAGACAGTGAGACTCCGTCTCAAAAAAAAAAAGGTGGGGGGGAGCATTGTAACTTTTGTCATTTTTAGCTCTAAGTGGAATTATTTGCCTCGTGGCATTTACCTTTCTGTTGCTCCCATCTCTCATAGAACAACACAGCTAAACTGGTGAAGCAGCTGAGCAAGTCAAGTGAGGATGAAGGTAGGGTGCCGCTCCTGCTCTCTCATGGGCTTTTCTCTATTACTTCCACTTCATTACCTTAATATCTTTTCCCATCCTTGGATTGTCGCTTCACTTTTCTTTTTCTGTGTCACCTTGCTTTTTTTTCCTTCTTTTAAAGAGAAAGTTCCTCTAACCTGTACCCTGTTTCCTGTTCTCAATTCCAAAGTTGTTCATTTCTCTGTTGCTGAATATAAGGCGCCATACTTTAACTGGAAGCTGATTCCTAAGATTGCTTGTTATAAAACACATACACTTAAAATTCACTGTGGAAAATAGTATCATCCTAGCGTGTCTCATCATCGTTCACTTCTGTTTTTCTAACTATAGCATATTCTGGGAACTTTAATAATTGTTTTCCTAACAATAGATGTACTAGTTCTACCAATAAACATATTCCTGTAGGACATGGGCAAAATCTTGACTCTTGAAATATATCAAAGCGCCGGGCGCAGTGGCTCACGCCTGTAATCCCAGCACTTTGGGAGGCCGAGGCGGGCGGATCACGAGGTCAGGAGATCGAAGCCATCCTGGCTAACAAGGTGAAACCCCGTCTCTACTAAAAATGCAAAAAATTAGCCGGGCATGGCGGTGGGCGCTTGTAGTCCCAGCTACTTGGGAGGCTGAGGCAGGAGAATGGCGTGAACCGGGAGGCGGATCTTGCAGTGAGCCGAGATTGTGCCACTGCACTCCAGCCTGGGTAACTGAGCGAGACTCCATCTCAAAGAAAAAAAAAGAAATATATTAAAGCTCTGATTCTTTCCTTTTCTAAAAGAGTTGTGGAGCTTCTGGCAAGGACCATACAGTTCTGTCTTGAAGACAAAGCCTGTCTCCTTTAGAAATTTAGAGTTTCCTTTATCTCTACCCAGGC